TAGGATGCATTTGATACTTAAGGAACAGTCATAATATGAATCAATTCACATTTTGAAGTGTGTGTGTGTATATATATATATATAGTTATCTATCTATCTATATAAATATACTATATATAGTTTATGTACCATTTTATATATAGCGAGAGAGAGAGTTTATGTATCATTATTGCACTAAATGTCTAATTTAGAAATGCTGTTCGGTCAACCAGTTCTAAAATATAGTTGATACTTAATATAAGAACATGTATAAACAATATAAAAGTAAATTAATTTTATAAATGTTTATTCACAGTATAAATTTGCTTGTACTGTGGTTACCTCTTACAGAAAATAGCAAATGCAATTGATGCAAGATGGCTCTTCTGGACAGTCAAGTGAAAGGGCTGTTTTTATTCCGGAGTCTGGTCTGTTTGATGGAGTGTACAGACCATTATAATTCCTGCTCCCACACGAAGGCGAGCAAATTACACACAAGCACTCAGGACTGGACACAAGCAGCATCATAAAGTGCCAAACGCCTTCATTTTAGGCCATCCATTATTGCTTCGTTTATTGTCGGGATCACAACAACAAATATGTACTTTATGTTATAGGGAGCCCAAAAAATTAAAAAAAAAAAAAAAATCAAAACATGGTTAATATTTTTATACTCAATCAAAAATACAGACTCCAAACCAAAAAAAGCCTTTATTATGTAGGCAGAGTATGAGAACAATGCAGCTATTGCACTAATAAAATAATCACAGTCAAGACTTACTATTCATACACAACAATTAACAGCAGACATTTGGAAATTAACAAAAACATAACTAAATAAGTCTCTTCAAATTTAACAGCATACATAGAAGTACAAATTGAAACAGGAAAGATTTTGTTAAAGTCCCCATGTACCAAAGAATGGAACTCTAAAAAGAACCAGACAACCATTCACTGCACAAAGAGCTCTTACAATCTTCTAATTGCATCATCGATGTCCGACATTTGTTCCTTCAGCTGATTCCACTGCTCAGGATTCAGTGAAATACCTGAGGGTAATTCAATACAATTGATGGAACAAAACAACTACAGCACAATAAGCAAAAGTAAGACACACAGGAACATTTGACCTACACTTAAAGATATTCCACTAAAAATAAATAAAATATAAATGGCCCCAAAATTACCTTTTTTTCCAGGCTTCATCTCACCAGCTTGGTCCATCCAGTACTCTCGAATGTCAATCAAAACCTTGCCTTTAAAATCTCTGACGCTGACGTATCTCAGCTTTCCAATCTATCACATATCAGAACATGAATGAGCTACCAGGGACAGTTAATAATAGCTCTACAATCAATCATACTAAACTTTAATAGTCAAAAAACACTCAAAAAAAGACACTAAAACATAGCAGAAATTGCAAGTTATAATGCTAGATAACTTCAGAACCTTGCATATTCTTTATGCAATCTTTATGTGTATTCTGTAGGAGTTCTATAGAAAAAAACAGATTTCATAGGGTTTTGCCCTTAAACCAGAGTAACAATAACTCGATAAGAGACATGTTACAGATAAATGCAAGCAAACTAATCCATGGGAAAAGTTGCATTACAGATCGATAATAATAATAATATATAAATTGATGTTCATCCTGTTGTCAGCATGCTTATTTTAATGCAATATTGCTCCTAGTAGAAGCTAATCTACAAGTAAGATTATTTAATGTTAAATCAATATTACATGTCCATGCATTTATTTATTTCATAAGCAGTTATATATGGGATAATTTACAGTCATTTGGTCATTAATAAACCCTGATAGGGCGGTACGTGTTGAAAAACTTAACCTGAAACAAGTTATCATCATTGTTTCGGTCACTCTTAGCAGAGCCACTCGGTTTGGAGGTCTCTCCACTTTTCTGTTTTTTAGCAGGCTTCTCAGGAGCACTTGCCTTCTTTCTTTTGGCCTTTGGTAGAAGGAGAGAAAAACAAACACATGACCTTTCAGGCCTGCAGCATATTTTAGGATGAAATAAGTACTTTAAAAAATAAAATCCCTAATTATAGTAGCCACTGCTAATTTCAAGTTAAATGAAAGTCAAGAAGCATAAACAGTTTTCCAATTGCAAAGGCAATGAATTTTGTTGCATTCATGTATAAATCAATATTCATACCTTTTTTTCTGTATCACTGTCTGAATCACTGCCAGAAGTGGAAGACAGCACTTCTTTAGACTTAGGCATCCTGTTGAATGCAAACAAGTACAATTTAATGGGAAATATGATTCAACACTGCCCCCTCAAGACCACTTATGGAACTTATATTCATATATTTTTCCAGGTATGCCCAGTTTAACAGGGGGCCCCTGCTCAATCTCTATTTACCAAGAGCCTTTAATGTGAAAACCTATGCTATATACTAACTGCTAAACTGATACAGAATTTAATGAAACGGTCTTCTAGTTTTTTGAAACAATGTATATGTTAAATACATAAATACTACAAAAATGTAGATTCTTTAATAATAATAATAATAATAGAAGAATCATCTAAATAACAAATGCCATATTCTCTACATTAGCTACATGTGTCATCAATGCATAAGAGAGTCACACAATGTTGTTTCTAGGCAAAAACACACTTAAATGATTCCCCAGAACAAACGGATAATTTCAATGACTCTACATTTTTTAAAAGGTTATCGATAGTAATAGTTTACTTACTAACAAATATGAACCCATATTCTTATGGGTGGGGAAAAACATATGAGGACAGACGCAGTGGGGGGTTATTTTAAGATTTTATTAATTTCCTAGGACCCAATTGTGAGATTCCCAGAATTTTTATTAGAACCACTCGTTTACTTAGAAGACCTATTGGCTACTACATGAAATCTTGTAAAAACCTGCTACACATATTTCCTAGCCCTAACATGCACTTTTCGATGGTTTTTTTATTTTTATTTTTTTCTCTAACGTTAGCATAAAGCCTCGTACACACCGGGACGATTATCGCGCGCGTTTTTCGACGCGTCTTTTGTGTTCATACCCAAGCGATTTTCGCTGACGATGAGCCGAGTGAACATGCAAACTCACTCCCTGACATTAGATGGCGCTTAATGAAAAACAGAAATACCCCGGTACACATTGCAGATAAATCCTATTTGATCTGCAATTCCTCTCCATAACAACTCCCTCTTATCGAGATTTGTGTAGTCGCTGTCGCGTTTGTCATAAAGCCCTTTGTGTTCAGACACCAATGAGACCAGCAGCTCTACATTCATCTTGCCTCGATGCATCTTCTTGGTCTACTTACTTCCTCTTCGTCGTTAGGTATAAATGTATGCTTGAGCGCCACCAAGTCGTGTTTTACTGTAACTTCAGCAGCTCCAGGCACGTGAACAAAAGCGCCAATCTCATTGGTCGGCCAGTTTTTAACGCGGCGCGTCAAACCAAAAAAACGAGCCCGAGGCGTTTTTTTTAAAAACGACGCTTTTACGCCTGGCGTTTTGCGCGTCTGTGTGTACACTCACATTGGCGCACATTGTTTAGTCACGAGGCGTTAAAAGTCGGCGATAATCGCGCGCGATATTAGTCCCGGTGTGAACAAGCCTTAACGCGATATGAATTTTGCATAGATTTTTTAAAGTTGTCATTTTGGTCGAAAAGATCCATCAAGCAAGAGACAGAACTGAGGCTTTCCAAATCAATAAAGACTTGGCTTCACCGATTTGCCTCTATACACGGGAATGTACGACATTAAACTGCTTAACTGGTTTGTTAAACCAAAACTAGCTCGTGTAGATCAACACCGGTGTGTATAGCGGGGCTGATCAGAGGCCTCTGCATCCCAAAACTAAGGTGGAAAAATAGGCCCTGAATAACAGCAGCTCATATTATAAGCAGTTTTGTATGACTTGTCTTTGTATGTGCGTCATGGTTGTGCACATATTTAACAAGTGCGTGTCTAAAATAGACAGTTTACTCGTAGCTTTAGTATGAATTGAATATGACTTACGTTAAAGGTTGTGCAGTGGGCTATAGTCAGTCACGCTCAGCGGCGGGAAGTCGAGGAGTCTATAACCAACCATGTGACTAATAACGTGTCAGAGGGCATTGTGGGAAATGTAGTTGTCTCTTCTTCAATGACAGCACTGCGTAGATTGTAAACCACCACAGTAACAACACACCTGTTGTTTAACGTAATGACGTTAATGAAACTCATATAAATATAGATTATTTTTTTATATAATTATAAATTATTTTTGATATAATTATAAAAGACTTGTTGGATGATGGTGGAAAATTCCTCCGGATTTTTGCCCTCCGTAGTTTTCGTGCAGTGTTTTTATCAACTCTATTCTTAAAGAATCGGTTGAGTAAAAGATTCAATTCAGCCACTTTTAGCAATAAAATGGAAAATCAATGTAGCCTGAAAACGAATAAGAAACAAATAAGTGAACATATATATTTAGTGAACATTCAAAAGAATCTAGTCACTGGGATCAAAAATCAAAATAACAACTACACACACACACACACACACACACACACAACACAATATATATTATTCAACAAGGGCTTGACATTAACTTTTTTGCTCACCAGCCACTGTGGCCAGTGGTTTCCACTAGCCACTCAACATTTTCACTGGCTACTATTTTGTTTTTATTTTGTTTTAATGAAAAGATGCAGTCAGTACAGTCAGCACAGTTCATGATTTTCTTTGCTGGATCACATGCCAGCCATTCTCAGCTTGACTTCCACTTATCATAGAATTGTCTTTTTTCTTTGTTTTAATATATTCACAAGTGTATCTGCAGGATTTCTAAATCAAATATAAGGCTTAAGACCTTTTTTAAGATATATATATATATTCACATTGGCAGTCCTATATCACTTCCGATATAAAACTACCTTAATTGTGTGTTTTTGGATTAAAAGTTGTACTAAACGACCTTGAAATGGTTTTAAGAAAAACTACACTTCCCATCTCTCGCAACGTTCAAACGCGCATGTGCGGTAAGCGCTATTTCCTGGAACGACCTTCTCGTGTAAAAAGGCAGGGTTACGAGTCAGAGTTCGTAAGAGAATAGGAAACCAATGATTCCCATATGTCCAGTAGTTTCCTTCACCTATGGTGAGTAAAATTGGGGTTTTAAAAGCACACTGAGACAGCAGACGCGATTTAATCGAGAGAGGATGTGATGAAGACCATGTTGTGGGTGTGTGGGGATCGTTTGGGTTTATTTCGTCCTCCGCATGATACGGCTCTTCATCATGGTTGCCACTGCACACAGTCGCTTACCTTCATGAATCTGTTTTTTTTTTCAGTGCCCAGCCGGCTAGGTGAAGATGTCAAAATGGCCACCGGCAACTACTTTGGATTTACCCATGGTGCTGCTGCGGCCCAGTACAGGTAAGGGCCGAGATGTTTAATGGGAACTGCGGTTATGGTGATGGTACAGTAATGGTGGGATTTGGCCCCTCTGCCTTTGTTGCTGAGTCCGGGTGGGGGTAGGGGAGGGAGGCGATTGGCTATGCTTTAAATCTTGAGATGAACGGCTGGAATGGAAATGATGCATTATTACATGCTATGTTAAATATATATATATATATATATATATATATATATATATATATACACACACACACAGTGAGTAATGCGTTGTGTTAATCTATCTGTGTATTTTATTGTATTTTGCTAGGGAGAGATATAGGGAGTTTTTATTAGTGTTTTGGGAGGGCAGCTTACGAAAAAATTTAAATCATTGGATAAACTACAAATAAGAGGTTATTATAAAGCTATACAGTTTGAATCAATTTCTATTTATATAAACATCCGGCGTGGTTTGGTGTGTAACTAGGCCTAGGTTTAATACGGTTTACGTTAATATCAGACCGGGTTGCCTCGTAAACAGACGCGACGCTTATCTTTTTGGGTTTATCGGTTTTTATCTGCAACACGACACGTTTTTTTTAGATAGTAACACTGTTGTGAACTCCTTGTGGTATTGAGGTGTTTGGATAAACTGTGAATGTAGCCAGTGCGGCCAGAGTAAAGCGAGCAGACTGCAGCTGTCAGAGCGGCTCTGCGCATGCGCGTCCAGCTCAACGAGCTCCTTTTACAAGTGTTTTAAGACGAAACGCAAAAAACCCCGATTGTACATGGTCGCCCAACACTGTTTAAAAAGTCATTTTGACACGTTCGTTCGTTTAATATCACAGATTTAAATTTTAGAGGAATAATTGACAAATTGTATGTGTGGGGAAGGGCGATGTCTTTCTTCACGGACGCCTTCAAGGACTTCTTGAATGTCACTAATGAATGATCCGCTTGTTAAAGGGTTTTTGTGGTCTAGGTTGACGTTCTTCAGTTATTAAGTTGATTTTAAATGAATCCTAATGTTCCTATTTAGGTGTTTTGGCTTTATGTGCGGTGGAGTGAAAGAACGCGCCTCTATTGGTCAAAATGGACGTGATGTGACGTTTCTTCTGAACTGGATCATATTTCTGAGCAGTTTTCCATCAGTTTAGTTTTGCTATTCCTGACAGGTTGTCAGCATTACATTGAGATTGATGGCTTGACCGTTTGGAAGCATTTACATGGCTGGATAGTAGTAGTAGACTGAAGTTGTTGATTAATTTATCTCCGCTAGACAGATGTTGGCCCAGTTTCTGAAAGTGCACCTTTTAGATGGATGTGAGATAGATGCCATTGGTGTGGTTTGTGTTGGTTGGTTGCAGCTCAAGATAATTGTGATGCTTTCAAACCAATGGACGATGACGTTTTGTCTGCCTCTTATCAAGAAAACGCTGTACTAAATCATTTAATCCATAACTGATTAGATTTTCTTCCTCTACATGTATCTTCCCTGTCAAGCCAATGGATTTGGTGCATTAAGTCCAGCAATCAGGGAAGATCATTATGATTTTATCTCCAAGATAATCTGTTATGGCGTGAGTTAGATGTTAACATGAACATCTTTAAATTACATTGAAGGTCATTACTGTTCAATACATCATCTACAGAATTGTCCTCTCTTTCAGTTTAGTCAAAGTACACCAGAAATTTTCTCAGCGTATAAAAATGAGCAATTTAGCAGTATTTTTTTGTGATGATACATGATGGCACCTTTTTTTCTTTTTAGGTTTTAGATTAGAATTTGTATGTTATTTCACAATTTTTGCTAACCTAGGCTATTTGCCTTTGTGTGGGTCCTGTGTGTGTGTGTGTGTGTGTGTGTGTGTGTTTTTTTTTTTTAAATGAGCAAGGGTAACTGTCAGTGTTGTCATCTAAGCCTCTCGTCCTCTCTTTACACCAGAAATTTTCTCAGCGTATAAAAATTAGCAATTTAGCAGTATTGTTTGTGATGATACATGATGGCACCTTTTTTTCTTTTTAGGTTTTAGATTAGAATTTGTATGTTATTTCACAATTTTTGCTAACCTAGGCTATTTGCCTTTGTGTGGGTCCTGTGTGTGTGTGTGTGTGTTTTTTTTTTTTTTAAATGAGCAAGGGTAACTGTCAGTGTTGTCATCTAAGCCTCTCGTCCTCTCTTCTGCAGTCAGCAGCCGGCCGCTGGGGTAGCATACACCCACCCCTCTACAGTGGCCAGCTATACTGTGCATCAGGCACCTGTGGCGGCACACACGGTGGCTGCAGCCTACGCCCCTACAGCCGCCACGGTTGCTGTTGCTAGGCCTGCGCCAGTCGCCGTAGCAGCAGCAGCTACTGCTGGCGCTTATGGAGGATACCAGCCAGCTCACGCTGCCACGGATTACGGGTATGCACAGAGACAGCCGGAGGTACCCCCACCACCACCTCCTGTTACCTCACAAAACTACCAGGTAAAAGAATGGAGCGAACTTGCCATTTACATCGCCTTGAGTCATTCTCATACACTACTGTTCAAAAGCTTGGGAGTCAGCATGATATTTTTTATTTTATACATTTTTTTTATTATTACTTTTAGTCAGCAAGGATTCATTAAGCTGATCAAAATAACATGTATAATGTTCCAAAAAAAAATAAAAAATAATGGTCACAGTTTCCACAAAAATATTAAATAGCACAACTGTTTTCAACATTGATAATAAATGTTTCTTGAGCAGCACCAAATCATAATATTAAAATGATTTCTGAAAGATCATGTGACACTGGAGTAATGGCTGCTGAAAATTCAACTTTGCGATTACAGGAATAAAGTACATTTTAAAATGTTACTATTTTAATGTATTTTTGCATTAAAGACTTTTTCAAAAACAATCTTACTGACCTCAAGATTTTGTGTATAGGTATATCTTTCTGTGCTTTTGCATTCTCAATTTTAAGAGAGTCAGATCCATGTCCAATGTTTAAGAAAAGACACAAACCCTCTGTTTACTGTTGCAGGACTCCTATTCATATGTGCGGTCCACAGCTCCAGCTGTAGCGTATGACAGTAAACAATACTACCAGCAACCTGTGGCAACACCTGCTGTGGCCGCTGCAGCAGCCCAGCCACAACCCACGGTGGCCGAATCCTACTATCAGACAGGTATGCTTGACACATCTTGCCATTTAAATGGGAAGAAATATTCTGCAATAAATGATCAGTGCATGTACATTTCCATAAAATTCTCTAGTATTGCTTTTTCTTTTCTTTTTTACCAAATGTGAAAGGCCTTAGTTAACATTTGATTTAATTTATTTGTATGAAATGTATTTAACATTTTTTTTAATTTAAAATAAAATCAGAATAGATTTCTCCCTTTTTCCCTATTCCAGTATTTTGAAGAAATGCAATTTGAGGGCACCAAATTAAATCGGTAATCCTCTTCAGGTCACCCTTTAAATGATCTGTATTGTTCTGTACAACTTTGTTTTACTCCTCCCATTAGCACCTAAAACTGGATACAGCCAAGGTGCCACTCCGTACACCCAGACCCAACAAACGCGTCAGGTTACAGCCATAAAGCCAGCCACCCCCAGACCTGCCACCTCAACCTTCTCCATTTACCCAGTGTCCTCTGCTGTACAGCCGGTCGCTGCTGCGGCGGCTGCCTCTGTAGTCCCGTCATACTCTCAGAGTCCCACCTACAGCACCAATGCAGTCACATACTCTGGTAAGAACAACATCTACAGATTTTCTCAGTTGAATTCTCAAAACGCTGATGTGATATTGTGAAATGCACACTGAGCCCCAGAGACACTAAGCTCTCGTTTAAAGGTAGTTGAGTAGTGTGCTTGAGCAGAATTGGACAGAAGGCAAGTGAAATGTTTTTTCTAGTAATAATACTGAACCAAACCATTGAGCTTGGCATTGCTAGTGTCATGCTCTACCAATTGAGCTACAGGCTTAAATATTTACAGTACAGTCCTGTCATTCTCCATCTGTACTGTGGCCAATGATTGCTCATCTCTGTATATTCAGGAACGTCATACTCTGGCTATGAAGCTGCAGTGTATTCGGCTGCCTCCTCCTACTATCAGCAGCAACAACAACAGCAGCAGAAACAGGCGGCCGTTGCCGCAGCAGCCACTGCCGCATGGACTGGCAGCACTTTTACCAAGAAAACTCCCTTGCAGAACAAAACACTCAAACCTAAACTACCCCCTAAACCACCACAGATACACTACTGTGATGTCTGCAAGATCAGCTGTGCTGGACCCCAGGTATTTTATTTGAATGTATTTATTGCTGTTTGTGTATCATGTGAAACTGATGGCCCATACGCTAGTGTTTACCTGATACTCATAACAAATGGTCAGGTGAACTTGCATGACTTGTTGCACATATCTTATCTTTTATTACAGACCTATAAGGAGCATCTGGAGGGTCAAAAGCACAAAAAGAAGGAAGCCGCACTGAAACTGTCACAGAGCAGCAGTAGCAGCAGTGGAGGTGGGAGCTCCACCCGCGGCACACAGAATCAGCTACGCTGTGAGCTCTGTGACGTCTCCTGTACTGGAGCCGATGCCTATGCCGCACACATCAGAGGAGCCAAACACCAGAAGGTACATGACCCACTCTCTGATCTCGGCACATAATAATCTGCTTTCAGCAGCACTATTTTTGAATGCGTATGATTCTGGCTCTTCGTTGTAGAGAGGGCCTCTTAGGGACTGTATGTTACAATATGCAGCAGAAAGTTGTTTGAAGGGGTATGGATGCCACAGCATTACAACTGGCCATTACATAATCGAGTATGCTTGTAACAAGTCAAAGAGTGGGTTGCACCAACAAGGATTAAGCTTTAATCTAGATTAAATCAAGGTTTATCTAATAATTCCGTTGCACCAAACTTTAAACCTTGTTTAAATATAAGCAGGATTACATTTAGACCATCATCTTGATTCTGGATTTAATTTATATTTAAAATAGATTAACTTTAATCTTGTTGCTCCATAACTTTAAACTCGGATTTGAATCTCAATTAGGGATTAATTTTAAATTTACAGGTGAGGAGGTTTAAATGAAATAAAGTGCACCTACAGTTACAATTATGTGACTGATTAAACAAAGAAAACAATAGAGGGTGTGTTGTGAGGTCTCAGGTGCTTATTACAAATAAAAAGGAAGATTTAAGCGCATTGAGCCAGCAGATTGTGAGGGTCTTGGCAGGCCGTAGTAAACTCGCGTCTGCTATCGAGTCCGGGATATGAATCCGTCACTCATCTCGGTGTACGACAAAGAAAACAGAAAAATATACTGTATAGCATTTAACGGCAGCGGTGATGATGAAGTGAGCTTTGAATAACGATAGCAGTTTATTAAGACGGCAGATATTTTACAAGTTTATTTCCTTTTTTGACATGAGCAACTTTTTATGTCAGAAAGAGAGTTTGGTAGTAAGCAAAGAAAAATTATGAATATTAGCATTGTTCCGGTTTAATTGCAATGGCGAAATCCATCATGGCGGAGAAAATTTATCGTAGATGGAGGTTTTAATCGCAGGTTAGAGTTCTAATCCCTGATTTGTTAATCTGTGTATAAAATTAAGTTGTGCAACACAACTCGTCTTAAAATAAAACCCAGATCAACAAATCCTTGATTAGCTCTAATCTTGGCTTAATGGTATGTTTTTGGAAAGAATTGACTATGAAGATCTACACTGATTTGATTTATTTTGAGTTATTAGTAAAGGCTTGTAGGAGATTGCCAAGTCATTACTTAAATTAATTTTGATTGTGTTGTACAACAGTACGGTTGGTTGCTTTGCAAAAAAAAAAGGCAAAATTACATACGTTTCCAAAAATATGTGAGTTTACTGGAATATCAGTGTTTTTTTCTGTGATTTATTAGAATTTGTATTGAGAATTGTCAGTTCTCACTTCCATATCAAAAATGTGATGTTCATAGCAGTGGGTAGGATGTTCATTTTAAATGTGCCTAGCATCTAATTGCATTCTTTTTCTATAGGTTGTGAAATTGCATACCAAACTAGGAAAGCCGATACCATCCACAGAGCCCAGTGTCGTTTCCCAGTCCTCCACCTCCAGTACAGCTGCTCCCAATAAAACTGCCAGCTCCAGCATCAACAGCTTAAAATCTGGCAGCATGGTCAACAACATGGCAGCTTCAGCTTTACAGGGCAAGATCCCAGTGCCCAACAGCACCTCTGTCAAGAAGGTCAACACACCCAAGATCAACTTTGTTGGTATGTCTTTCTGAATCATTGTTATTTGCTCTTGGACCGATCCTGTTGAACGTTTTTATTTATTTTAGATTTTTCCTTTTTTTAAATTAGTTTTAATATATAATATAATAATTAACACAGTACAATAATGGTTTTCATGCATGAACAAAACAGGTGGAAACAAGTTACAAACCACTGCTGTTAAAAATGATGACGCCAAGATGGAGGCTGCTAAAGCGGCACAGTCCACTATCTCTGCACCACCAGCGGACCCAAAGAATGAATTGTCTGAACCTCTGTCACCTCAGTCAGCACTTGCAGCCCTGCAGAGTGATGTTCAGCCCGTCGGACACGACTATGTTGAAGAGGTATGAGAAGACTTTATACAGTAAGAAAAAATAAATGCCTGCAGTCATTTTCAAGCGGTGTAGCTAAGTGCAAACAATAAAATGCGTTTCAGGTAAGGAATGATGAAGGAAAGGTTATCCGATTCCACTGCAAACTGTGTGAATGCAGTTTCAATGACCCGAATGCCAAAGAAATGCATTTGAAAGGAAGGAGACATCGACTGCAGTATAAGGTTAGTAGGTGATTGTTGTTCACGGTGGTTCTTTTATGATGAATGCAGAAGAATCTAAATCGTTGTGCTGTTATGTCAGTGTAGCTGATTGTATTTTCTGCCATTGTAGAAAAAGGTGAACCCAGATCTCCAGGTTGAAGTGAAGCCTAGCATCCGAGCCAGGAAGATCCAAGAGGAAAAGATGAGGAAGCAGATGCAAAAGGAAGAGTATTGGAGAAGACGTGAAGAAGAGGAGCGCTGGAGGATGGAGATGAGGTGTGATGCTTTTTCTCCACCAGTGTATCATTATCTACACATGAGTATTTTGAGGTCCTATATATTGTGATTGTTTTCAGGCGCTATGAAGAGGACATGTATTGGCGACGTATGGAGGAAGAGCAGCACCACTGGGATGAAAGGCACAGAATGCCTGATGGAGGTTATCCACAGGGTCCACCTGGACCTCCTGGTCTGCTTGGAGTGAGGCCTGGGATGCCCATTCCTCAACCACAAGGACCAGTGGTGAGTCCTGAGAACTACTGCTGTGAAAACACGGTTGAATTTGCCAAAATATGTGATTTGTGTTTGAGGTACACAACCATTTAAAACGTTTGAAACCAGTAAGAAATTTGTTGAAAAATAAGGGTGCATTACATTGATCAATAGTGAAAGTAGAGAAATTCATTTTCTATTCCTTCTAGAAATCACAATTTGGTTTCCAAAATAATATTTAACAGCACAGCAGTTTTGAACATTGATAATAAGAAGAATTTTTTTTGAGCACAAAATCAGCATATTTTTGTGACACCGAAAACTGGAATAATGCCTGCTGAAAATGACAGGAATTACATTAATAGCTGCTTTGCCATTACAGGATTTGTTTTTAGAATATATTAAAATAGAAAAGTTCTTTCTTTCCTTTTTTAATATTTCACAACATTGCAGCTTTTACTATATTTTTTATCAAATAAAAGCATCCTTGGTGAGCATGAGAGACTTGGTCGACTAGTTGGCTGCAAGTAAATTAGATACGGTATGTTTTTGGAAAGAATTGACTATGAAGGTCTACACTGATTTGATTTATTTTGAGTTATTAGTAAAGGCTTGTAGGAGATTGCCAAGTCATTACTTAAATGAATTTTGATTGTGTTGTACAACAGTACGGTTGGTTGCTTTGCAAAAAAAAAAGGCAAAATTGCATACGTTTCCAAAAATATGTGAGTTTACTGGAATATCAGTGTTTTTTTCTGTGATTTATTAGAATTTGTATTGAGAATTGTCAGTTCTCACTTCCATATCAACTCCTGAATAGTTTATCACAACTGTTTCATAACATCTAGTTTTTGTTGCAGCCTCCACGTCGCCCTGATTCCTCAGATGATCGTTATGTGATGACCAAACATGCAGCTATTTACCCTTCTGAGGATGAGCTCCAGGCCATCCAGAAGATTGTATCAATCACTGAGCGAGCACTTAAGCTCGTCTCTGACATCCTCACAGACCAAGATGCAAGTGCGAAGGGCAAAGAAGAGGACAAAGAAAAGAAAGAGCCTCCCAAAGACAGGTGGGAGAAGAGTGTACTAATGTTTCTCAAAGCAGAGAGAAAGAAAAGGGCCAAGCAATTCATGATGTCTTGTACATTGCAGAGTGCTGAAAGGAGTGATGCGTGTAGGCGTTCTTGCCAAAGGGCTGCTTCTGCGAGGAGACCAAAATGTCAACCTGGTCCTCCTTTGTTCTGAGAAACCAACCAAGAATCTGCTAACGAGCATTGTGGAACATCTTCCCAAACAGCTTACGGTACTGGCTCAATGCAGTGCAAACTGCAATAATATTAGATCATCACACAGATTTTCCTTTTAAATTTTACTTATAATATTTTTAAAATGCCTTTTTCAGCAGTGATGTCCAACCCTGCTCTGGGAGGACTGCTGTCCTGCAGAGTTTAGATCCAACTCTAATAAAACACACCTGAACCAGCTGGTCAATGTCTTCAGGATGGTTGTAAACTTTCAGACGGGTGTGTTGGGGCAGGTTGGAGCTAAACTCTCCAAGACAGTAGCCCTGGAACTAGTAGGAACAGGATTGGACGCCACTGCTTTTATGGGTGTAGAATAACTGCACCGTTTCTTACTGTGGGTCAGGATTTGCTGGATCTCAAGTAGATGGTTGTAACTTTTTCTGCTAACCCGTGTGTTTGTCAGATGGTAACTACGGAGAAATATGAGGTAAAAGGCTCCATCCAAGAGGCTGCCATTATCCTTACCTCCTCCGCTGAGCCCAAGATGCAGGTGACCATCACCCTCACCTCGCCTGTCATCCGAGAGGAAAACACCCAGGATGGAGGTTGGAAAAGAATTGCTCACATTAACCGACTACCTATTAATATTTCATGCTGATTTTGACAACCTAAAGAGCCCATCTGTTCTAACCCGTGTGTTTGTCAGATGGTAACTACGGAGAAATATGAGGTAAAAGGCTCCATCCAAGAGGCTGCCATTATCCTTACCTCCTCCGCTGAGCCCAAGATGCAGGTGACCATCACCCTCACCTCGCCTGTCATCCGAGAGGAAAACACCCAGGATGGAGGTTGGAAAAGAATTGCTCACATTAACCGACTACCTATCAGATTAATATTTCATGCTGATTTTGACAACCTAAAGAGCCCATCTGTTGTCACTGTGGAGATGGTGCTAGAAGTTAATGATATCAGAATTGTTTTTACCTTTTTGACTTGAGAGCATTTATTTTGGGAAAATATGAAAGTGGAACAAATTAAACCTGGTATGTGCTTGAGCTTGGCCGTATATGAGAATTGACCTACACCGTTTTCCTTTTGAAAGTTACACCACTGAGGTAAAGTGCCTCTTTCTATCTTCATTTACACTGAAATTATTTTGTATTAAGTCTGTAATGTGTTCACACTGTAAAAGGGCCGAGTTCAACACTACCAGGTTTTATCCAACTATCTCCGATGGCAGCAGTGGTGCTCCGGGTCTTCTCTTTGTAACACTTCTCCAGTGCTCTTGAAGCTCTCCCTAAAACAAGCATGATAAGTGTTTTGCATTGTGTAAGTCTAGTTAGTCCCGGGTAAGATTCATTTTTGTTTCCTGTGTTCAAGGGGATTGTGTCCTATGCAGAACCAAATAATTGTATTCTTTCCCAGGGGGTTATGGAGTTGGTCAGGGGTATTATGTATTATTCTGTGCAAAAAACCCAAACAAACTTAAACTTAATTCCTGATGAGAAATGGTTGAGTTGGGTCTGACACCTTAGGAGTAGTTGGAATGCCTACCATGTCCCCACAGGAAACAAATCTTATATTTGTCTGTTGGTGAGAAGGTTCACCATTCTGAGGTCCCCTGCTCCAAAATGAAAGTGCTCCCCTGAGAGAAGCAGTCGAATAGAGATTGACAGATGGTGAAATTTGGCATCCAAACAATGCTACTTTTAATTTCTTCAGTTGTAAAAATGCATTAAGCAACAAAAAGCCACATTTCCCCAAATAATAGTGTAATCATATCAATAACCCGTTTGTCTTTTTATATCTTTACAACGAAGAGTTTTAGTTGGTAAGAAGCCACTGAAATGGTGGAATCTTAAATACAGGCTTTACGGCCATGCCACCATTCGTGTTTGGCTCCTTAGGGGAGTATCGGTCAGCTTTTGGGAGGAAGGCTTTGATAGAGGAATCTTGGTTGGACCTGGGGTTTACAGCCTTCAGTATACATTGAGATATGGGGGTTCTCCAAACTGATCATGACAGGTATGCATGCAGTGATGTCCTAATCCTCTTGCTGGGAGCTTCATATTTTCTTGCCAGCACGCATTGCTGCCTTCATGTGTCCAAAGCTTTTCAAGTCCAGCCCAAAGCCTCCTTGCATTTTCAGCAAATTGTCTCCCATCTGAGGCTACGTCTACCAGCTCCGGAAGGATTTTTGACCAAGGTCCCCCTCCTGAATACCTTCAAACACTTTGCCACACCTACCATTGCCATGCAACTGTAGTGGGTCACTACAAATACTCATTCAACTGTAAACATTGCACATCTCCCTTGATATCAATGTTTTGCATCATCATGATTTATACATCTGGTACCATTTGCAGCCCATCATTATCTTTGCAATGTTTCTGGATCAGTACATTGACTACTTTGTGTTTCAAAGAAATCCTCAAAGTATTTATTACATTTATTATCTCAGACTTCACTTATGTAGACACTGGAATCCACAATTTGTTTTTGCCCTAAGCGAAAGAAAATACTTTTATCCTCAAATGCGAAGTCAGCTGGTTCAGCAGGAATTGTACACTTTGGAAATATATTAAAATTAGATTTGTGTCATAACATTCCACATATCCAACATAGCAAATACTAGAAAACTAGAACTACCTTTTCTGGATTTTATTAGTTTTGAAAAATACAAATCATTAATTTATTCTAAAGGTTTTTTTTTTTACTGCAAGACAACAAGATCATACGCAATTGGCAAAATGGCACAGTTTAAAAGTTTTCTGAACTAATGTGTTTGAATACCTGTGATATGATGGATATATCTGGATTGTGATAGTATGACTAGTCTGCTGGCTTTTAGCACTGGAAAATCGTATATTGTCATATTCCAAGCAATTTCAAATGGTGGATTGCTGAGCATTAATGCGACAGGCCGTAACTGATAGTCTTCATCAAGACAAATTAGAAATTACATGAAGTGTCATGCTCACTATATGCAGAGTACCAAAAATTTCCAACTTCAATTATGAAATCCTACATCACTATGCCATATTCTCCGTATTTTTATTTTTTTGTCTTGTATCCCGGACAAAGGCCTTTATTTTTAACTCCGGACTCATTCGTCCCTATCCCATTTCTCTCGGCACCACACCACAGACTAAATAGAAGTGCACCAAATGGCAAGTGTAGCTGTTAAGATCTGAAAGATTCTGCATATGGGGCGAAATGTGAGATGCATATACATTTTGAAAGAGAGCAGTGATTGGGAAAAGACTGGTATGTGTGGCAATGTGTTCTTGGCAGTCTCTCTGACCTGGTCAAACACCCGTTCCTCACCTCCATTTGACAATTCGATCCATTTTTAGATGTAACCTCGAGTATGGTGAAAGACCCAGCGGACGTCTTGGACAGGCAAATATGCCTTGACGCTCTGGCTGCCCTACGCCACGCTAAGTGGTTCCAGGTTTGGAACATCATTTTACTTTCTTCTTGTAGCCTTATGAGATGTATTCCTTTTTATTTGTTCATTTAAGTTGTTTAGTCTTTTTGTTTTTAAATTTTAAACCTCAAAGTTGATGTTTGGGAGGAAAAAGTGATACAAGGATGCAATATATAATTTGGAGATGATGGTACTAATTTTTTTTTGCATTCTGTTTTTGTATATATGAGCTAATCTGATCATAAAAAATTAAGCATCCTTGCATACATGTGATTTATTCATAAGTTTTAGTTTAAATACATAGCATGTAAAATAATTCCATAAGGCTGCAGAATACCTTTGCATAAAGTGTCATCAATAAGAGCTTTCATGTTGAGTGTTTCTTTTTTTTTTTTTCTCCTTTATTTTGTTAATTTTTTTTTTTCTTGAGGATAGGGATTGAGAGGAAAGGAATATCTGATTAGTTTACTGTGTTGTTGCCATCTCTGCAAATACACAGGCAAAGTAAAGCAGATTTCCTTGACTGCTTCAGTTCCTATGCAACTACTCTTGCAAACTGATCTTTTGTAAAAAATGAAAGTATATGTTTGTGAAGTATCTGACAACTGAGGTCAGGGTTTACAAGATTACCAGGGAGCCATTCCAAGTGAATCTTGCAAACTTTTGAACTCTTGTACTAATGGTGAGGTAAAATACTGCTGGAAATGGCAGCTTAAGAAAGCCAATTGACCCAGCTATTTTTAAACCAATTATAAGCTTCCATTGTGAACAGTAGTGTTGCACCTCTTTCTGAACTCCGCCATGTATGACTGTATGTTTTAGCTCTTGTGCATTAACTAATCTTTACTTCACTGCACTGAAGGCTAGGGCTAATGGACTCCAGTCATGTGTGATTGTCATTCGAATACTGCGTGACCTTTGTCAGCGAGTACCAACCTGGTCTGCCTTTCCTAGCTGGGTGAGTAAAAGACCAGTGACAAGCATATTATATAAAAATGCTAAGTTGCTGTCAAGTCACATTAGATGGCATTAACACAATGCAAAGATCTGCTGTTAAAATGAGTAGATTATTACCAAGCAATACGTTTTCATGAGCCCGATTTGGACGGTAACTTTTTCTCATGGGGACGTAAACTATTTTCAAAATTTACAGGGATTAGTCTGTGATTTTTATTTTTTTTTTATTGCCGTCTGAATCCAGAATGTCTTTTTTTCTCCCACCATCCACATAAAAATCCCCGGCCGAAATACCTACTGTTTTTTGACAAAAACCAAAGTTGTGTGGTAATATCTGAATCTACATCTCTAACTTTACAAGAAGAAATCGATTCAAAATTCACCTTTAAATCCCTTTTGACCATTGCCAAACACAGTATGGTAACTGTTGCACTTTGCTGTAATTTGCATGCATATTTATTACTGAAATTCTGGATAGTATTTACAAGGACAATATTTCATAACTGCTCCACCACAATAAACTATTTTCAAAATTTACAGGGATTAGTCTGTGATTTTTTTTTTTTTTTATTGCTGTCTGAATCCAGAATGTCTTTTTTTCTCCCACCATCCACATAAAAATCCCCGGCCGAAATACCTACTGTTTTTTGACAAAAACCAAAGTTGTGTGGTAATATCTGAATTTACATCTCTAACTTTACAAGAAGAAATCGATTCAAAATTCACCTTTAAATCCCTTTTGACCATTGCCAAACACAGTATGGTAACTGTTGCACTTTGCTGTAATTTGCATGCATATTTATTACTGAAATTCTGGATAGTATTTACAAGGACAATATTTCATAACTGCTCCACCACAGCGAGTGGGAGCTGTTAAGAACTAAAAGAAGAACAAGAACAGCATGTAAACATTTAAAATGGGTCAATATTATGGCAGCAACAGGCATGCAATATAATTTTAAAATATGTATTATATACAACTATATGCATAAAAATATAAACCTAGCAGCGTTATGTTTACCTTACATAAATATGAGGTTGCAATAAGTTATTTCTGCTAATCTCCACATTTTTAATGACATCCATCATTTTGAGAGATAAATGCAAGACCGAAAACCATTTTAACTATAGTGTCTATTTTCAGATTTTTATACTGGAGATTTAATAATCAAATAATAGGATATTATTAAATCTGAATTTATTCTCATTATTCTGAGCATATGACATTTTATTTACAGCAGAATGACATTTTATTTACAACCATGTGACTGAGCACGTGAGCAGCACGTTCCCGAGTTCGTAGGATCACAGAACTTGCTTCTCTACTAAATCTGCATCTGAATGCATGAGTTTTAACGCTGAGGTGCCATGTAAATTTATTCTACAGACATCCACATGAAAAATTAGCTTTTGTTGACGATCAAATTCTACAATTTCTGTTTTATTTTTTTTCTACATCATTACTGTTGTCAGATATTCAGAAACAGTATACAGTATGATAAGAAGCACAAGAGAACACTATGTCGTTGATGGCCATTGCTAACTCAGTCCAGGAGGAACACTGTCAGGACGAATGCATGTATGTCTTTTTTATGTTGTGACAGTCTATAATTAGTATTATGTTTATATTCCTGCTTTTCAGTGAAAGCAGACTCATAGGAAGGTTGTCAGCAGTTGTTGCAAGAAACGTCTTCATTGAATGTTTCAGACTGTAGTTCAGAGGCTGTAGGGAGTGTTTTTTTGTGTGTCTAGTGGTAGGTATGGGCAGGTAACAGGGCCCTGTGCTGTCTAGCTCAAATAACCAGAGTTCGTGACTGCAGCATTTCCACAAATAGCAGGGTGACTTGTGCCAATACATAGCCAAGTAGCTATGTGTCTGATTCTGCCTGCTCTTCCTGAACCAATCAGTCTCTTAAAGGGGTCCTATTATGCTTTTTCACTTTTTTAATTTTAGTCAGTGTGTAGTGTGTATGTTTGGGCATAAAAAAAGATCTAAAAAGTTACAAATCCCAAAGTTCACTCCAAAGGGAGATATTTAGTTCATAGAAAATAATGTATTCGAATGTTAAAAACGTGTCGCAACGCTGCGCTTCTCGTCCGGTGTGCGACCGCCTGAAACGCTGTTTTTTTTT